TGTGTGTGTGTGTGTGTGTGAGTGTGTGTGTGTGGGAAAAAGAGTTTTCTGTGTATGCGTATGTGTGTTTGCACATGTGTGTTTGTGTGTCAGCGTTTATATGTAAGTGTGTTTATGTATATGTGTCAGAATGCGAGTGCGTATGTGTTTATTCGCGTGTGTGCTTGTGTGCGTATTCACAACTCACAATCTCAATATCCCTGGAGCAGCGGTTGAGAATCCGGCCAATGGGCGTTGTGTCGAAGAAGGCCATGGGCGCGCGGAAGAGTCGAGAGGTCATCTCTGAGTGCAGGTTCCGGCCCGCCATGACCATCCGGGTCCAGAACAGGTAGTAGTAACCAATCAGGAGGAAGACTGGAACATAAAGGTAGGTCATGTGACCGGTGAGGGTTTGTCACAGTCAGGGAAGGACTGGGGTGTCTGGAGTGTACGAATTACACGAGTGTGTGAATTTTGGCGGGTATGTGTTGGTGTGTGGACCTCAGATTTTTGTGAGTGTATATCTCCATAAATATGTATCTGTATAATAATATGTGAGTGTGGATCTGTATTTTTCGGCGTCTTTCAGTATTTGTCAGTTTGTATCTGTAATTTCCAGTCTGCACATTATTTGTGAGAGTGTACCTGCATCTATGAGTGTATACTATGTGTCTCGACGCGGTGGAATCAGGCGCTCGTCAATATTTGCGAACTTGGAGTTATTGGTATCATCTTAAGGCTTGTTCATTTGTCTTGCTTTCAGTGAGAAAACTAACCATCTATTTTTAATAGAAGTTGAGATATTTGCGATTGAAGTAGGTGGGGGCAGCATGGTTTCAGAGGTAAAAATAGAAAGAAAATGGCCGCAAAAGTTTGATGAATTCAATAGCTAGAGAGCCCTGAGAAACTAAAAATTTTCATTTTTGCGTCTTTAATCAACGTTTTTCCAGTAAAATCCTCACAGAAATGTGTTTTTAAATGGACCTAAAAATGTTTACCCCCCCCGGTAAAAAAACAAACCCAAAACAACACAGACCCGGTTTTAAAAAACCCAAGTACAACACCACCCCCGGTGGTCCCAAAAAAAGCAACAAACAACAACAACAACCCCCCCCCCAAGTTGCCAAACCGACAGAAAATCGCCTATTTCTTCTATGTCATTATTTTGACGAGCGCCTAATTTCAACAGGCTTCCTCAAATGTGTATTTGAGTGTGTACGTACCTTGAGCAAAGCCGAAGAGACCGTAGACTAGCAGGTAGCTGTCACTGAGTTCCGACAACTCCTCTATGTCGTTTGACCGGTTGGCCAAGAAGGGATCTGAGGTCCAGGCTGTCAGACAGTAGTTGGTGACCACACTGACCGAGTGGAATGTGAAGAACAAGGAGATGGCCACCGTCATGGGCAGGATTCCGGCCGCCCGGGCGTACTTCAGGTAAACCTTGGGCTCCACCTGGCCGGGCACACAAGGGTTAAAAAAAAGAGAGTAGATTGTTAATGTAGGACACGAACTTTACAAAAAGTTAACACATAATTTATAGTAAAACGTTGTTCCCGCATCCGACCCTGACAATGGGGATTGTCTTGTTAGTGAGATAATTTCCTGAGCATTCGGCATATTGTGGTAGGGTGACCAATTCCTTTCCACGCCGCCTTCACTTCCCAAAGTCGAAGTCATTACTGATGGGTGGACAGGAAGGGACGAAAAAAATCCGTGTCCGAACCCAAGCTCGAATCGGTACTTTCCGCTACGGAGACGAGTGCACTAATCGCTCCGCCACCGCACCCTCTAGTATTTATAGTATGTCTATGAAACGCTGTCTAAAATTCAGGTGGGTACGTATAATTGTTTTTGAGTAAGTTCCAGCTTCTACCCTGAAATGTTTTCCCAACTGTTTCAGATAGTTGTTTAATTAAACTGTTATATTATGTTGGTACTGGAAGACAGAAAGTAACAGAGGGAAAATAGGAAGGTACAAAATGTGTACTGACCCTTCCTTTGGCGAGCACCTCCGTGGTGATGAGTTTCCCTTGATCTTTCTTGAGCTTTCCCTCCTCCATCTGCTTCTCCGCTCGTCTAGAGATGGTCAGCGAGCCGTCCAGGTTCTCCCTTCGTCTGCACGAGGACATGTGCAATAAAGGCTGTTACACACAGGCACATGATGAAGTCACTACTCCCTCCTCTTTCCCTGTTCACGCACGTGGCACAGATTCAAACCCCCCCCCTTTAACAACCCCCACCCCCCAAAAAACAAAAAACAAAAAAAAAAAAACCCAAAAAGAAAACATCAAGAAAAACATAAACAACAACAATAAACAAACCCAAACTCTTTCACATGAGCATGCTAATGACAATGACAATGACAATGACAATAACAATCTTTATTCATCTCGCAGGGAGAAATTTGTCTTGATCGTTAACAATGGCAGTTGACGTTACAAAAGTTAGACCTAAAGGTGCATTCACGCAAACGCACAACAAGACAGGACATTAGGCCAAGTAAATATATGTCTCACGTGCTGGGACAACCCGCTCCGTAAAACACACACTCTCTCTCTCTCTC